CGTAAAAATCTTTCTATATATTATTATCATTTAGACAATAACAAAAGTATCAGCTTGAACCTAACAACTAATTAGTATTCTCTATATTTTTTTTTAGATTTAATTTAAAAAAAAAAAAAAGAAACCACAAAACAACAACATAAAGTAGAAATCATAAGCATAAAAAAATGAAAACTATAAAACTATTCAAGAAAAATATAAAATTGTATGAAAAAAAGTAAAGTCACGAAGTGAAGAAAAACGGTTAAAAGTTGATAAATTTTAAGACAAAACGAAAAGTGTTAAATATGAAATACAAAAAAAAAAAAAAAAAANAAAAAAAAAAAACAACAACAGAAAAACAAAAACCAACAATAAAGAAATCATAACATAAACTCAGACAAAAATCATTACAAAAATAACGAAAACCATATTTACGAAAATGCAAAGAAAAAAGCAAAATAAAAAACCTACATATTTACAAATAGTAATTATAAATTACCTATGAATGAATAAATAAAATTATAACTATTGAATTTCATTTAAAATATAACGACTCTTGATTATTTACTTACAATTTCGATTTGATTAAAACCGCCGGAAACGTTGTGCTTCTAGCTTTCAGGTAAGCCTAAAGGCTTTAAGCGTACTCACATAGCTTTTTGAGCTTGTAAAGCGAGTATAAATACTCTCAAGCTTTTTTAAAGCTCACAAAGAGAGGTTGTCGCTTGTTGACCTAAGCTTTTCATTAAAGCTTGTTGAAAGCTTTAGAGTTTATATCTTGCAAAAACTTTCGCGAAAGCTGTCTTAAGTAAAGTGCTTAGTATATATAACATGTAAACTAACAGCACTGCATACTCTGAGCTATTATATAAATATGAAGTTGCTGAAGCTTTAAAAGCTCTTATGTAAGCTAAATGGTATTGCTTTATGAGCAATAAATATTTTCAATTGATTTTTTCAGAAATAAGACTACGTTTTTCCAGTGTTGCGTTGCTATTTCACACATTTTTTATTTACCTCTTATGCATTTAGTACCTTTTTGCGCACAGAAATTATATTAAGCATTTTGGAACAATTAATTTTTGCTTACATTTAATTAGACATTTATTACTTTCTTAATTTTTAAGTCAACAGATATTTGACACCAATAAATTCATTGCTCTAAAAATTAATGCTTCACAGATTTTCATGCTCCTTAAAGGTATTTTTGATTTTTAGTTTTTGGTTTGTTGTACTATTCAATAGCATATTTTAATCCAAAGCGAACTTCGTTAGTCCTCATCGTAATTATTTTTTATTTTCATCGTTAAATTCATTGTGGCCGTGGTAGCCGAGTGGTTAGTAGCTTCTCATAAAAGAAACCTCCATATGGTGGAAAAACATCAAGAAGCAATACCTTGAATTGGAGGAGGAGGAGGAGCTCAGCCGTTACAATGAGCCAATTATATATGTATAAGAGTATTCAATACTCCTAAATTCAATTTTAGCTCTGTTTTTAGTACTCTAATTCCGTTTTTTTTTAAATAATATTTGTATTTAATTACATTAATAATGTTTATAACTAAATCGGCAGAAGACCAGCTTCTCATCTTTTTTTAAAACATGCATTTATCCAGGAGCCTTGGTTGTCATATACACCTAGGCCTAATTTTAGTTTAAATACATACATATTTAGCTCATTCTCTTATTCCATTTAATTTGTTATTATTTCTAAAAAAACTCCTATTCTTGTTTTTTCCCTTTAATTTTACTTAATTTTATTCTTTTTTTTATTTTTTCACACTGCATTTTTTCATTTAATTATTTTTTGCATTTGTTTAAATTATTTAAATTATTTTTTTATAATTATTTTTTTATTTTTTTTAACTATTTTTCTGTTTACTTTGTTTAATTTTATTTGAATTTAATTTAAATTTAATTTAATTTAATTTAACAATCGTTCATATTAACTTACATATAAAAGTAAGTTACCGTTTTTTGCTCTTTCAAAATTAAATGTAAATCAAATGTATTTAAAATAATATTTTTTTTTCGTGAAATTCCATTTTATTATAAATTTTTAAACTTGGCATTGTGTGAAAAACTACATCACTCAAAAGACCGCCTCGCAAAGTTTTGCCAACTTCTACCCATTTGAAGTAATTTTCGACCACTTTCTGGCATAAACATGTTCTTTCATCTAGCGCCACAAAACCAAGTCCAGCGGTGGCAAATAGTACGAGTTCGTTGGCCAATTGACATCGCCAAGACGAGAGTTTACACGGTCGGGAAATTTCGCTCGCAATAAAGCCATATTCGCCCATGTTAAGTGGCATATGGCGTTGAAACCACATGTTGTCCAAATCGCGCATTGCTGGTCAAAAAAGTCGGTTATCATTCAACCAAAAAGCTCCGAATTAACAGTGATAGTCTCGTCCTTGTTATTTTTAAAGACGTAAGGTGCAACCACAACGCGGAACCAAAGAGTGCAATAGACAGTAAGTTTTTTTTGGGAGTGATGGCGTCTTCAATTATTTCAGGACTCTCGTGACCCCGTATGTAAATTTTGTTAGAAAATATCCCATCCTCTGTTCTGCAAGCACCCAATTGACGTACTATGTACGGTGTATAGAAAAGTCCGCTGGTTTCAGTTATTGAGTGATGTGGACTTTATGTGGGATGTAAGTGTAAGTCCAAGTACAAAATACGCCATAATGTGGCGAAAGAAATTCCCAGCGATTGAGAACGTCGAGCAGTAGACACATTCGGGTCTTTGGTAGCGAACGGGCGTAACGATGATGCACAGGCTTTACAATATCTGTAACCGATACAGTCTCCTTAAATTTCTAGCAGTTGCTGGAGTAGTTGGAGGATCACATGTACCATAGCTTCCTCTTGAAAAATTGAACGCCTTTTGCCTGACTTCTAATTAAAACAAAACCTGTTTGGTTTGACAATTAAGTTTGACAGATGTCAGATCTGTATTTTTGAAATCACGAAATGGATAACCTTATATATACATACATAATCGTTTTGAGTGGTTTTATGTGGTTTATCCCTGCTTGATTTTGAAGCCGGGTTAGACGATTATTGGGTGAGTACGAGCACAAATGGGTTCCAGCATGATTTATATACGCGATAGAACTGCCACCTATCTAGAAATTTAGATTTGGTGAAGTTTGTGTATTTTACACTATTACAACTTTGGTATCAACATGAAGAGATTGATTAAAGATTCCAACTGAGTGGGGTCGTCCTCTTCCTTTGCTTCCACCAAGGGGTACTGCATCAAAAACCTTCAAAACTGGAGTATTCATATCCATCCGGAATATCGCCGTATAGTATCTCGTAGATCTCATCGTTTCATTGGCTGCGGTATGCACCGTTCTCAGCTCGCAGAGGACCATAAATCTTACGTAAAACATTTGTTTCAAAAACTTCTCTTCTTTATCATTTGCGTATGCCAGCTGCTGTACACTCTTATAGAAGACTGTACCTTTTCTATTCAGCTTACAGTTCATATTATTTTCTCCAGCAATAAAATAGTGAAGTCACACTATAAAGAGTCATCTTGTCTAAAACGAAAGGCTGGGAGAGGTCCTTCCCGATCCTGAGGGAGATTTTAGTGCTGCTTAACGTCGGTTTACACAGCTGTATAAGTTTTGCGGGGATACCAAATTCAGACATAGCGGCGTAGAGGCAGCTCCACTTCCTGCTGTCGAAGGCTGCTTTAGAATAGACGAAGAGGTGGTGTGTGCCGACTTACTTTTTTTGCTCCAGTTTTTTCCAAGAATATTTGGCCACCAGGCCTCATTGATACGGTCCAATCAGTTTATTGACGGTGGGTTTAGTTTTTCACACAATACGCTTGATATTAATAATAATTTTAATTATTATTATATTTTTAATTAAAATTAAAATATGTAGTTAAAGATAGAGAATATTGAATATTGCAACCAGCAAACTGGGAGGTGGCAATACAGCAAATACGAATTTAAAGTTGGCAAAAAACGAAAGTTTAAAATTAAAAAATTTCACCCTTCGCTAGAAGTAATTGGAAAGCATACAAAAATCGCCGGAGGACGTTAATCGAGATTTTCGTAGAAATTTTTAACTATTTTGTTGTTATTTTATTTTAAAGTCGTATGATTTAATTTTGTGCCATTTTCTTTTGTCTTAATTCATTTCATCTTAACTTAATTTTATTTAATTTAATTTTTTAATTTTTTTATATCTTTACTTTATTTATTTTTATATTATTTTGTTCACTTTTTTGAATGGTTATTCCTTTTATTTTATTATGATTTTGTTTTTGGTTGTAATAAACAGCCTTTTTGATTATTTTTTTGTGTGTTTTAAATGCATTTGTCGACAAAAGAGTGGTTAATTTATTTTATTCAGTGTAATTATAAGGAATCACACAGATTTATTTTAAATTTTTTAATTTTTTTATTTTTTTGGAATATAATTTATTCGATATGCATCTTTTTTTTTAGCAGAATATTTTGCTTTGAAACCGTGTTACTTTTTTTGCCGGATTTTTTTTTAACATATGACACAACAGAAATGTGGTTTTGAGGTTTAGGACGATTGATTTTTGGCTTCCACAATTAAATTTTTTTTGTTTCTGTTTTTTTTTTAAACTTTAGTTTGACTATGAGTTTTTGTTGCTTAGTCTTGAATTCAATTTAGTATTGTTGTTTTGGGATATAAGTTTACGGAAAGTTTGATTATTGTACAGTTATTGTTTGATTGTTCCAGAATCTAAACTTTTATGTAGTGTGCTTTCAACGATCTTTAAACAATTATTACATTTTCTTATATTCTTTTTTAAAGTCTTTTTTGTTAACACATTGATAAATATAATTTTTATTTTTATTTTGATTACTCTCTTTATTATTCTCCTCTATTTAAATCTGCTCCTCACTGAGAACCTTGGAAAATTTTGGTTTGTTTGAGTTCCTTCATTGAATTTTCTGACTCTGTCCGATCTTGAAACAGATTAATTTTGATTTTATATCAAAGAGAATACTTCAAAGGCCTTAAACAGATCTATGATTTTGTATTTAGAAACCTTATTTTGATTTTTAGAAGAATTTTTTTTAAAAGATTATTTTGCCGGCCAATTTTGGTTTTAAATTTGAGTCGCTTATGGATAATTCGACAATTTACTCATTATCTTCTTCCATAATTGACTAGAGCTGTCATTTTATGCATTAATACTGTATTATTTTAGTTTTGAAAGCTATTTTAATAACCCATATCCTGCCAATCTGACTGAAGGTCATGGTAAATGCAGGGGATTTCGTTTCGCTGTTCTAAGAAATATTTTTTTTTAGGAATTTTTTGGAATTTTTTGATATTCCTAAGAGCAATACAAGTTTCCTACGAGTAGTTTTTGGTCAGTAATTTAGTATCTTTGAAACACATTTATGTATAGATCAGTAATTCAATACCCTTGCAATTCAAATGATTGTGTTTTGAACGATTTTTGCCCTTAAATACTGGAATTTTCTGCTGCTTTTTCTGGCTTGTTTTTTTATTTCCTGGGTATTTAGATATTTGGATATTTGGTAAAATCATTTTAATTTACGGAAATTTGCAAATTTATCTTTAGGTCTATGGATCTGATGATTTTCTCCTTATAGTACTTTGAAATATTTCCTGAGCCATCAGTATGTGTTAGACACAATCTGTTTGCATCGATGAGGCTGACTTTCCTTGTTAAAGTTCAGTCCTTCTGCTTCAAATTTTCTTTTATTCGAGACAATCCTCATTTTGTGTGTCGTTTCTTGTGAAACATGCCACGTAGAAATTTGAATCACGCATGTGTTGTGTGCGGGTTGAGATCATTGTCGTTGGGCGCGCCTTCCGCTGAAATCGAGCTTCGTTTTTCGGACTGCTCGGCTTCGTCTTGTGAGAGTTGCTCTATATCAGCTGAAGTCGGTGGTTCAACCGATTGCTTGACATTGATATCTTCATCTTCTATTATCTCCTGTGGCTTGCCATCTTTTACCTCCTGCTCTTCACCGTCCCCCAAATGTGTATGTATTTGCACTATATGCAATTCGCTTTCTTTTCCAGTACTCTCCTCCTCTGTATCGATCATGGTTTTTGCTATCTCGAGTTCAGTCTTTTCAACAATTTCATCTTCATCTAAGTCCTTAGCGAGTGTTTCGCTACGCACAAGCTTTCTTTTGTTGCTGATTCCACTAGCCGTGTTGGTTAGCTGTGGCACCGGTAAGCGTATGGATTCATCATCCACCGACTCGATGCGGTCGAGTTGGTGTGCATGGGCACTCAGTCGTCCGTTGTCATCTTTACGCGTCGCAGTACTCAACCCAGTATCTGCGCTGGCGGCCGTGTCATTTTTCGTTTTATTGCCATTTCGTTTACCCGCTGGTACATCGTTCAGTGCGAGTGGTTCCATTTTATGCTGCTGTTCTTGTGCTGGTTCTTCGACATGCACCAAGACAAAGGGCAATTTTAGCGACAGCTCACCACCAATCGGACTTAAGGACAGTTTCACCTTCACATAGTAGGAAACATAGATGGCAAAGATGTTGCGATCATCGCCAGCAGTGGCGGGTGTGCCGTGTGCGTGATAGCTGCTAGGTTGTGGTATGCCCATAGCGGGACTGGGACACGGATTCATGAGTTTGCCGTGTGCGAGTATTATATTTGGTGAACGTATTGCTGAGGCTGCAATCACGCCGGGCACCTCCTCGGGTTCGGTGCTGCGCTGCAGTGTGTCCTCGAGCGCAATCCAATTTTTCGTCTGTCCACGTTTTGGTTTGAGTACGACTGTGGTGTTCAAGGTACCGCCGGGCGGCACAGTACGGTCTACGGGCGAACTGGTATCGGAGTCGGCGACAATATTCTTGAATTTACCATTGCTGAACATGCAGACGTCGACATGTTGGATGGCTGAAACCTGAAATGAGAAGAGAGAGGGGGGAAATCAGTGCGAATCGAAACAATTTGGAAAGGGAGATGGATCCCTAAAATATGTTAAATAAAAAATAAACACGAAAATTTCCTAGAAATTTTTAACAAGCTACTTTTGCATTTAACTCTGGTTGTTGCAAATTTTGTTTGCTCTTATTTTTTAGTGTTCATTTTCGTAAGCGCAAAGAGTTCTCAAAACTGTTTCGTGCAGCAGTTAAAAACAACCACAACAACAATTTCAAAAGTTTAGTTTTAACGCAGGCTAAAATACCTAAAATCCCTTGTCTGTTTCAAATTGTTGCATACTTTTGGGCATACACAAACTACACTTAAGCTCAACAGCACAACTCAAGTGACGGCGAGAGTGTGTAAAAGTATGCGGACAAACAAATTACACATACTTATTTACAAAGTAAAAAAAAAAATGTGTGAAAATATTTTGTTTCCCAAAAAAAGGGGGAAAAAGCGTGAGAAGCAGAAAAGTAAGACAAATAAAATAAATGAAAATACATTGAAAAAAAAAAAAATAAAAATATTACTTTCCGCAAGTAAATTATATCATAATATGTAAATATTTTGTTGGTGAAAAGTTTTAATCATAGTCTTATTTATTTCGAATTTTTATTATGAGTAATAAAAAAGCTTTGGTAGGAGCCTTAGTTGGGAGCAAGGGACAAGGAAAGTATTTTTGAATGCAAATTTATGTCTACTGAAACGCTCAAACTATAGCACTACGTTAAAAAGCACATGAAGTAGACTGGAATTGTACAAAAAAGCATGGGTATCATGTATTGCATTTTTTTCTAAAATGTTCATCATCCGTCATGGTGTCCAAATACACATGCATACAATTTTTTTATGCTAAAAAAATAAACATAATAAATATTTTAACGATTGCAAATTCCATTTTAAGTTTCCTCAGGAAAAGGAAAAGCCAGAAAGAATGTAAGAATTTAATATAAGAATTAAATACTTTTAAACAATCCACATCCATCAAAAAAAAAATAATATACTAAATTTTTGATACGAATTTTTATATTAAAAAAAACCAGAAATTTTGGTAATAATAAACTTGTGGAAGCAATATATATGAACAATCAGGGTGTATATTACACATATCAAGCATACAAACCTAAAAGTGTGCTTGGATTTTTAACTTATCCTCCCAAGCCTTCTTTTACCGCACATAAGCGAACTTTCGTTTGAAAAGGTCGCAATTCAGTTTGCCATAACCTCAAAAATCTATTTTCAGCCGCATAAACATATGCTAAATTATGTTCTACACGCAGAAGTTTTAATTAAAAAATTAATGAAAAAGAAATGTGTTGCCCCTAATGGCATGCTGCAAAGTGAACTCATGTTTAGCGAAAAATTCTAGCAACAAGTGATTTGTGAGAAACTTTTCTTCTCGCGGTTAGTGAGTGTTTGTTAGCAGATAAAAAATAAAATTAAATAAAATAAAATAAAATAAAATAAAATAAAATAAAATAAAATAAAATAAAATAAAATAAAATAAAATAAAATAAAATAAATAAAATAAAATAAAAAAAAAAATAAAATAAAAAAAATAAAAAAAAAAATATATATAAATAAAAATAATGAATTAAAATACAAAGTAAATAAAAAAAAAAATGTTAAAGGAATATGTAATATGAAATCAAACTTTGTTTTTCTATATTTCTCGAAGTATGAGTAAGTTTAATTTCAATATTTCTTTAACCCTATTAAAGCTTTGACACCGTTTCAAATTTCGTTGTTTATTTTATGTCCACCAATATTATACCAGAAACCAAGTTTTATTATATTAACCACGAAATTAATGAATCACTATAAAAGTTTTATGACATTAAAATGCAGTGGTGGGAATTGCAGCGTAGGCATGTGAGATGTCTTCAAGCATTCCAAAAAAGCGAAATTGAGTAACAAGACTTTATTTAAAGTATACTTTTAGGGATTCAAAAATAAAATTCGAATATAAAAACCACATGTCATCGGATCAGTAATAAAAATGTTCATACGCTGAAAGCATACTTTAGTATCGTAAAATATACGTGGTCCGTGTAAAATCTGCGCTTAAGTATACATATATGTGTATATGTGTATATGGATATAGGCGTGAATAAAGCGACTATGACAATTTTATTGCTCTCCGTGCGTGAACTAATCATTTTAAAGCTTTTGAAGGCTATAAACTGGCAAACGTTTAACCAAGGGTTCAGGCGAAACTCAGTATTTGAAGATTTTGAGACAAAATACCAACTTGGGAAGCTCTATGTAGACTTTTGAGAACTATTTCTTTATCTTATTCAAAACAAAAAAAAAAAAAACAAAAAATTATACAAAAGCTAAAGTATAAACCAAAAATACATAGGTTTTTCATTTTATATGCAATACTCATTCTTCTGAGATTGTTAATTTTATATGAAGTATTAATGACAAAAATTGTTTTCACTTTTACTAAAATTCCCTCTTTCGAACGTATTTCGCTCCCTACATATCGATATCATTTGATTTAGCCTCAATAAAGATTGACTAAAGTTTAAGGCAATTTATTGATAACGCTAACGTACGTATGTATTGGTAAATCATAGCATTTGTCGAATTTAACTTTTCCTTTAAGCAATTTTATTGTTACTTGGCTACATTTAAATTGGATGACTTCAGTTTCAATCTATTTCACTCATAATTGTTTGTATATGCGCATACATATTTACATTTATGTCAAGATCTATGCAATGTAATAAGTTCTCACACATGTCTTCCCGCAAAGGTGTCACTTGTTCTTGAAAATTTCCTTACATCACATTCCAGTTGAAATGCTTGAAAGAGCAAAATGTTGCGTATACGCCACAGCTGCCTTGACAGTGAAGTGCTGGTAGTCTTTTATGCTTATCTCATTTGGTTGTATTCGTGTGACTTCCGCAAATTTAATGGTGTGTAAAACTTGTGGGGTGGTACAGATATCGAGAGCTGAAGAGGGAAGCAAGACGCATTTGCAGACAAAATAAGAAACAGCCCGAGATGCGTGCGTAAGAAGAACTTGAGAAGCTGGCCGACAAGGGAAATGCTCAAAAAATTTTACGATATGATACGGCGACTTTCAGAATGTTTTAAGACCGGAGCAAACTCTGATAGAATCCAGAGGGGTGATCTATTGACGGATGCCCAGAGTATAGTGAACTTATGGTGGCAACAGTTCTCTAGCCTTCTGAATGGCAATATCAGAGGGAGAATATTTCCCTGGCTTATCTAATGACTCGAGATGATTTTTATTTTGAAAATCGATGAAGAACGTTGCGAGATTTCTAGCCATTTTACAGTCATCGAATGGAAGCACTTTCCACAAATTTAGGGTTTTGAGTTCAATAATTCAAAAAATAGCCATCCGAAATTGAATGGAAAGTTAACAGCGAGACCTCAATTTATACTCTTGATACATTCAGAGATTTTTCAAATCGAGCACTATTGAACACACTCCCTTCAAAGTGGAAAGGGAAGTGCTATCTCATGATGTGTCCTCTTACAGCTACAGAAAATTCACGATGTGAGATTTACAAGTCCTCGCTTATACCCCACAATGGTGAGTGCTCTCTCTGAACCTCGGGTTGCCAATCATTCCTTTTTCTTCATATGGTGACCGTACTGAGGAGTTACCGCTGACCTCAAACTGCATGAAGAAGTCTAAGATTTAAACAATAGACCACGTGGTCTCCGATTTCCAGACAAAGAGTATCAGTTGGTTCGTGAGACTAAAACGCTACCTTGGTGTGAGTTTTGCGCTCTAGTGCTCTTCAGCTCGCTTCAGAACTAATTTTCAAAACTCGCCTAAGGACATAAGTAATTTATTTCCAAACTATCACCTCTGTTTTTTTCCCTCTCCCTCTCTGCACAGCTCGAAATTCATCAATTAAATTGCAGCTCCTGAGCTTTGCGCTTTGCCAAAGGGAGAAAAATGGCAAATGAAAATAGAAATGGAAAAAATCAAAAACCAAAAATGTCTAAAATGCGGTAAATGTTAGTCACGCAGCTGCCTTTATACCTCTCTCTCATTCATTTGCCTGCACCCATACTGTGCGGCTCTACTGTACAATTGTGTCATCTTTCTTGGTGTTCTCGTGCCCATCATTAGTTTTCTGTCTTAGTGTCGCATTGCAGAGGATGGGTAATTGCATTGTCGTTATTTCAATGTAGCACAGCTGCACGCTACGCTCTCTCTGCCTCACCTCGGCCAGTGTGCGGCTCACAAACCCCTTCTGGAATATTAAGTAGCTGTGTAGCTTCGGCGTTGCGTTCTCCGCCCCGTTGAAGGTTGACAATGACGTGTCTGTTACCTGTCGGTTGCGGCTTATTGATTTCCATTGCGTTTTGTTTTTGCTCCTTCGGTGCTTCTTCTCGGCATTGTTTAACTTGTTGTTACCAGGTACGTTGTGAGAGCTATTAACTTCACACTGTTTACTTTGTTGTTATCGTTGGAAAAGTAGTTTCTTCTTCTTCATTTTCATGCGAATTGTTTTGCTCGCTTTCGGTTGAATTTTATTGCTGTTTTGTGTTTTATCTTTGTGTGAAGTTTCGATCTCCGGAAAGTTTTCAATTACTTTTAATGGACGAAAATGCGGATAAATATTTCTTAAGAAAATCTTGAATAATGAAATGAAGTCTCACTTCTTGATATGCAGCTACAGTTGCAGCGGGTTAACTGCGTCCCCGACGTACCCCCTGAAGCCGCAAGCAGCCCTTGTTAATCAACTCTACACGGGATTGGATCATGGCTAAAAATAGGGGAAGCTTCTGCGGTATAAAAGTTCGATAAACTCTGAAGAATAAAAGTTGAGAGAATACACCTGGAATATCCGTTCCCAGCTGATTAATGTCCTCCTAAGACTAAAGACTGACATTACGATCGTCCAAGAACTGCAGTGGACGGTACAGAACGGACACGAGTAAGTCATTGTAACGGTTTTATATCCGTTGCAGAGTAATGCCTCT